CAGGAGATAAAAACCACCGGCCAACCTGAATTTGATGCTTGCATAAAAGCAGCAAGTGCTCACGTGGCAATGAGATCTCTGCTACCATCACAGGGTGTCCCTGCAGGGAAACACTGAGGTAGGCACTCCCGGGCCTTCTTGTTAACACCCCTTCAGGATTGCAGACACCACGCTCAGAAATGACAGACACCACATTCACCTCTAAGCCTCTCAGTAAGCACTGTTTCCCAGGCTGCCACTCGCTGTGATGGGGGCAGTGAGCATCCACTGCTAATTTGGGATCAAATCATCCCAACCGCGATCCCACCCCCGGCTCCCACAGCCGGGTTAGCGCTCGTACCTGTGCTGGCTCCCAAGCTGCAACAAGCTACGCAAATTGCATCATCTTTCCACCTTCCCTCCCCGCCAGGCAGCCACCTCTCCACAGTATTCCCGGACATCACGAGCAGAGAGGCCCTTCCTTTTTAAAAGCAGACTAGTAATTAGGAATAGCAGCAATGTACAGTTTGGTCATTTCTGCAAACGCCACCAGCAGTTGCCATGGCAGCTTTGCCCACATACTTGCCCACTTGCTGTTAAAACTTCACGCAGCACGACTCGCTCATTCTTGTTTCAGTATTTTGACCCAATCCTACCCAGCTCTGCAGTCCGTCAGTCCCTTAGAAATTGAGGGCCAATAAAGTCCAGCATTCAGCGGGACAGGAGCACCTGATTTATTTAATAAAACAGGAACATGAAGTATGATCACTAGTCTGTTTGTGAAAACAAATTTCAGTCTCAGAAGTCTTTTCCACTGAATACCACACGCTGTCATTGTAAAGACTTAGCACCTCCTAAGCACTCATGGATTTACAACTAAATGTCTCTGAAAACTGCATCCACAGTATTCCAACCTAAAACAAGTACAGAGCAGTTCAAATGATACAAGCATTGTTGGCTGGTTTGATTACAGAGTAATCAATCGCTCCTGTTTTTACACATAAATATCAGAGCCTAGTCCTGATTTAGTCTATCTAAATAATTCTTATCAGAAAGGAGGTATAATGCTGATGTGGAATTAAATTTCACAGCAAGGTAGGTGTGTAGTTTATTTGCTTTTGGTAAACACTTTTGTTTAGCCACAAGCTCACTGTTCAGCTTTCCCCTGCTCCCTGACGGAAGCGCTGCAGGAGGACAAAGGCAAAGGTAACATTTCCCACTGCCGCTTGCATCTCCCAGATTTGTGATGAACGACAGGACCTGAACAACACAGCCTCCTCGGCCCTCCGTGGTGCGTTACTGCACGCAGAATAACACCAGCAGGGAACGACGTTAGGGTTGCAAAGTGAGGAACTCAAACGCATCAGTATTACAGTGGCCCTCAAAACTTTACCATTCACGTCATAACGCAGACTTAGTTGCAGGGTCACAAACTATTTCTTCCCCAGGGCCCTTCCTCAGTCAATGCACTGAACAGATGGTGCTCAGAATTAATTAAGACTGCACAGCCAAAGAGATTACTGTCTAACAGGAGTTTTGCCTCTGTTTAATCCAAATGTTCAAGGTTGTGCGGTTGTGCAAGGAGACTCAGAAGAGTTTGGGAAAAGACATTTCCAAATCTCTGACTGAAGAACTGCAGAGCTAGGCACGACTGGGTCAAATACTGAAACCAAAGCGAGTGGCTTGTGCAGCGTGAAGTTTTAACAGCAAGTGCTCAACTTGGGGAAAAGGGATTTCCAAAACAAACCATATTTGTCTCAGCACTTGGAAAGAAGATCTTTTTTCATCCCATGAAGAACTACAAAAGGCTTCCCACTCCTCCCTCAGAGAGAATCAAGTCTTTCTGAAGTGTTTTCCCCAAAGCCAGAAGAGCGTTAAGTCACCCACCAGATGAAGCAGGAGCCAGAACGTAAGGAACGTATTTTGTGTCTCATGGCTGACATGAGACCCGAACACAAGTAGCGCTGACATGCAGAGGCAGAGGGACCCTGCATCCTCCTTCAGTGCAGGGATTACACACTGGTCAGCCTACGATCAGATTTTGGCAGAAAGCTAGTAATTGTTATATTGCTACCAAGGAAGGCCCAGCCCTCGCTTGAAGCCCTCTAGCTTGAAGCTGCTGGAAGAGCAGTTACAGAGAGGAAGACCCAGACCCTCCCTGGTCCCTCCATGCATCCCTCTCCCCTTGAGCACTCCTGGCACCAGGAGCTGTCAGTGGGTAAAAAACTGGGTGCATTGCCAACCTGATGCACTCAGCCTTCCTGGAAATGCCTGAAACATTATTACACTGAACTACAATACCCTACCAGGAGAGTGGGGCAACGCGTGGCCTTTCTGTCCTGTACCAGCAGCTAAGCCAAGCCCACGGCAGCTCCAGCAAAATCTGAGATGTCGGTACAAAATCCCCCTGTCCTGAACCACTCCATGCTGCTTAAACAGCACATCGCTCCTGTCCCTGATGCCTGCAGACGGTACATCTCTCTTACTGATGTAACACCATCTGACTTACAGTTGGGCTCCCCACTACTGGCAGCCCTTTGAAGCCCAGAGAAACTAAGATCTCTCTCCCCATGCCCATGCTGCCAGTTGCAGCAGCACATCTGTGCACCACCAGTCACATGACATTACCAAAAGATGAAGTCGGATACATGGAAAAAGCAGGCTAGCTGCTGTAGTCTACCTGCTGCCCAATGCTGCTGTACTGGCATTCTCTCCTATGCTTCTTCCCTCCTCGTTCTCCTATCAGCTTGCTGGACTGCCCCAGAGGGAGTCCCAACCATTTTCCAGCAGGTCAGGAATGCAGAAAATTGGCAGATTTGATCCCAGCTGTGAGACCACTGCAAAATATAGTGCAGACGCAGGCATTATCTGGCAGTCAGTGTCACCCTGTCTGTTCTCTCATGTTGCTTTATGATTTGCACTGCAGAAAGTCAGTTCTTGCAACCTGCCTGTCTCCATGGAGGGAGTTAATTCCTGCCTACTCCAAAACAACAAGTCAATTTACGGAAGAGATGAACTCCACAGAGCAGAAATGATTTGTCATAACATCCTCTTCAACCTCATCAGCCAGGCAGTTGATCAATTTGTTGACTAAAATCTGGCTCACCCTTTTTGCTTTTATAGGAATTGTCATTTGCACCTCCATACCCCAGAGTTTTCTCATATGGAAGTCTGGCCTGGCCAAAAGCCTGCTTTGTGACTCTTAAAATGTACTCATACTTACTCGCTGTACCCGATTTTAGGAATCTGCTAAAAAAAAAAAAAAAAACCCTACAATTTTGGACCTCACAGTACTGATTTGGAACCCAATGGCAGAAATAAGTGAACTCGCATGGCACATAATCCTGTCAAATGAAGTTATATCGATATTCTTAGAAATAATAAATAATGTCCCTATCAGTAAAACTGTACTGTTTGCAGTGAATATGATTTATTTTTCTTAGGAGAAAAATGTCTGATAATAACCAGCCTGCTCATATATTTTAAAGACTTTATTAGATTTTTCCACACCATCATTCTGACGTCAAAGAAAATCAGATTTAACTATATTTACAGGGTGGGAAGGTGTAAAGCAGAGCGGCCTAAATATGACAGTCTCCAAGAGATGTTGTGTTACATGTTTCAACACACTTCTTCTAACACTTACGGTGCCACAAAGCACGTTTCTCCCCAACCCTACATGTCACTTATCTAGAATAAGAAACTTTGAAGTATGAGAAGATCTACTACTGCTAGGCTCTTTATATGACAGCAGGAAGGAAACAAACTATGGGCTGTAAATGCTCTGCTTAGTGCCACGGCACTGGAGCTTTGGAAAAAAAAAGGTTATTTTAAAGCAAAATAACTCTGAAACAAACAAGAACTATCATTGTCCCCCAAGGGCCTGAAGAGCAGCATGAAAAATTAAGGGCTGCTGTTGCGCTTTTGCTGGTGCTGCGCACCATGCTGTTCTGCTCTCCAGGTATTTCCTTCTAAGAAAAAAAGCAGGTTCAAAAGGTCTCTAACATCTGTAATGGTTTCTCTGGAGCAGCCAAGACACAACACTTACAGTTCAACTTATTCAACACTTATAGTTTTCTTGGGGATATCCTTGTATTTCTCTACCCATCAACCAAGTTCCTCTGTTGTGAGGAGTAGGAATCCACTCAGCTAACTTCAATCATCTCCAAAGCAGATGCTCTGACCCCAGTACCTTCAGAGAAAAGCATAAAAAACTTGCTTCTGCTCTTCTTCAGTTGCTTAACTATTATGCTTTTCACTCTACTGCTTGTGTTGGCGGCTTTCCTGATTTGAAAAGATGCTAGAGGACGAATTCCCATCCTAATCCACGGAATTACATCAGAGAGAAATCCCACAGAAGTTCGTATTTTCTAGGTCCCTAGGACTGCTCAAACAGCTGTTGCTTTTCCCTTCCAAGACGCGGCATGTCCACCTTAATCCACGGTTCCAGTGCTGAGTTCTGGGTGTTGCCCTTTTTTCTTGCTCATGGCATCAGAGCATTTTGCTCCTTTCTTCCCTCTATCCTAGCAGATTACGTAGCCTGAAATGGGCTGCCTAATGCACCTGCGGTCAGTAACGGTTGATATATGACAGTAAGATATCTCTGCACTTCAAACTTGTATCAGCCCAGAGTGGAGTTTAATCAGCAACCTAGAGATGATTCTGGTTACCAGAGCCAACTAATTCCCCCGGAATATTTTCTCAAGATAGATCGTATTATTTACTTTGCTAGCTGAAACCAGGTTTAGTAAAAGAGTCATTTCAATGAAATAACCTAGTCCCGCAAACTCATCAACCCAGTTTTTCCAACTAGTTTATTTTAGGAATTTTTCATTTGACGAAGACAAGCTCTTCTTCAGTTTAAAGAAACAGTTCATTTATCAACTCACAGTAATTTCTTGTATGATAAGATTACTCCTGCCAAATATACATTCTCATATACCTCCCACACTGATATTCCCTAATGAAGTTACTACTAGCATTACTACTGATTTGATTTTGTTATGCTTTATAGCTAGTACCTTTTTTTCCTTTTCTTATTCTGCAGGGCTGATTTTAATTAGTGACTTCAAATTTCACAGGAGCTTCTGTTGTTCCTCTGAAATCCACAGTGTTACATCACCCCATGGTAAAGGCATCATCCCACTGCAGAGGCAGTATGGGGAAGCAGATCTTTTGGATCCAAGTGCTCCCAAGCCCAGATCTCAATATGCTTTAACAATAAAAAGTGATTTTGCACTTTATCACTTTTATAGCAATTGCAAGTGGCACTAAACCACAGCCCCCCAAATACTCCATAGCCAAAGTAAACTCACCTTTGGTTTGCTCAAGCCACTTAACTGACACAGCTCGTGCACTGCTGACATCCAAAGCAGCTCCGCAGACCCGAGTCTTCTTACAGCTCCAAGTGTACTGGCCTCAGTGGTGGTAGATGTCCCCAAATGGTTGGCACCATCTCTGCTTTCATGCTTTGGATAGATGTCACCAACCTATCTAATCTATGCATTGAACTACTCATGTGGCATTCTGGACAATTTCACTCAAACTTTGCTAACTCAAGTTAGCAAATTTTTCTGAAGATGCATCATATCATTTACTTTGCTAGCTGAAATCACTTTAGTAAAGGAGTCACTGCAATGAAATAACAAATCTAGTTGTTAACTCAAGTTAGCAAGGACCTACTATTGAAGCAGCTTATGCTCAGTAGTATAGACTGCTCAATAGAGTGCTCAATAGCTGCCTCATTTGAGCTGAAACAAATTAAAGAAGAGCTCTCACTAGCATACCAGCAAGAAAACAGAAGCAGCAGTTGCTTCTGCCAGTGGGATGCCAGCTAGCAGCTGGCAATAGTAAACATCTCTGCAGGTGCAACCACAGCCAGACATGACATGCATCTACCCCATAACTCAGCTCTTCCCACCTATGTTAAAATACCTGGAGACATGAGACAGTCAAGCTCCCACACAGCCAGGAATAACATGGGTCACAGCACACAG